CAGAAAGCCAATGAAGAGAAGCTAGTATAGGAAAGATGTGATCTCTCTTTTTAACTTTCATCAGAACTCTGGCTGCAGCATTTTGGATCAGCTGAAGGCTTTTAACTACAGTTTGTGGACTTTCTGATAGTAAAGACTGACAATAGTCCAGCCTTGAAGTAAGAAATGCATGGACTAGTTTCTCAGCATCAGCATATGCAGGAAAAGCGTAGAAAAGAATTTAAATATTAAATCAAAATTATTTTCACAATAGTCTTCAGGCATTGAATTTAAAAAGGGAATCCATGGTATGTAATTTTGCACCAATTTTTTTTATCAATCAAGGGGTTATTCCATAAAGCACTAATCCAGGAGAAAATTTAAGATATCAAGGGAGAACCTTAAATGTCTTAAATTTAGCTAAGAACTGAGCAGAAAACCCTTAAAGAAAGGTTTCATGATATTTTATAAAAATATTAAGCTTTCTTTACTGTCTGAATCCAAACCTGCAGTGGATATAAAACTGATTCTCTCAAAGGAAAAATATTCAAGCTGCTTGTTATAACCATCAGCATTTGAATCAGAAAGCTTATTTTAAATAAAAACACCAACACGACTATTCTATCTACCTATAGTTTACCAAAACAGAGCACTTATTTAGCATCAAATGTGAAGGAGAAGGAAGGATGCAGTTACTGTTTTTGGTTCAATTGAGGGAAGGCCTTCAGCTCGGTCCCGTTTCCTACAGGTCCCGTCTTCAGTCCAGTCCATTTGTCCAACAGCAACTCAAAGAGATTTGGATCAATCCGATGCAACAATAAGAGGAGATTCGCAAGGGGCTTAGTTTTATAACTCACGGTAGCATACGGGACATCTTCCTTTATTTACGTTGATTAGCATGTAGCCGCAACTTGTAGCAGCACTTCCGCGGCGCTGCTCCGTCCCACCGTCCCACAGATGGTTAAGGTCCAGTTGCTTCTACCAGCTATTTTCGGTGAACAGCAATCGGGGCCAAAGTTTGGTGGTTTGCAGAGCTGGATTAGCTCTGCCCTGTCTCTGCTGCAGCATGATTAAGGATACACTACGTTCACTCGATTTGAACCACAGGAAGAGTAAAAACACTGCGTTTAGCTCCTTCTGAAACACAGGCGAAATAAAAAACACGGTATTCAGCTCCTTCTAAATGGCAGGAAAAAGGCAGACTGACTCGGTCTGGGCGAGCTCAGACTTCTACAGAGTGGTTTTCAGCTGAAAGCGCTTTGCCTAGCCCTTTAGCAGAAAAAAGCCGTCACCAAAATAGGACCCTAATATATAGGACCATAATATGGGAAGCTAGCGTTTTTCAAACCTACGCCGGAGGGGTGTGTCTTCAGAGCGCCTTAGTTCTGGTCACATCAGCGAGATTGGATCGCCACAATATCCTTCTAATATATTTGCCAAACTCACACAGAGCTGTAGCTCTATTGAACCGTCCATCCCACCTGCTCTCAGCAGTAATAATTTTATGGGATTCTTTATAAATAAAATTGATCTTATTAAAAATAAGATAATTAGCACACCTCTAATAATGACTGATTTATATCTGGAAGGTGAGGCTGCATCTGAGGTAGCCAGAGAATCTGAACCAGGTTTAGACTGCTTTGATCCAGTTGAACTTTCAGAGTTAGCAAAACCATTGTTCATCTAAGCCTTCAACTAGATATCTGTAGACTATTCTGAAAATAATTGTGATTTGATATTTAGATATTAAATAATATTCTGAAACCCCAAAACCTGAGTATTGAATTTAGAATGTTTTTCACTGCTTAAACACAGTTTTTCTATTAACGATTACATAACACAGCACTTGACAACTGGATAACAGCACTAGACTGGTTTAAATCATATCTATCTGACCTATTTCAGTGGGACGATCCAGAGTTACCTGTGGAGAACCACAGGGATCAGTGCTAGGACAAATTCTCTTGCTGATGATGCTCAGCAATATTTGTCTATAAATCCATATGAAGCTAAACCATTACATAGATTACAGGAATGCCTTGAAGACATCAAAATCTGGATGACTATGGACGTTCTGCTCCTGAATGCAGACAAAACAGAAGTTATAGTCTTTGGACAGGAGTCTTTGAAAAAGCAGCTAATTAGTCAGTCACTTCATTTGGATGGGATTAAATTGATCTCAGATAATAAAGTAAAAAAAAATTGGTGTTATTTTTGATCAGGACCTTTTATTTAAATCCCATATCAAAGAGGTTTCTAGAATTTCCTCCTTTCATCTGTGGAACATTGCAATAAAACAAATCCTGTCCACTGTTGGGAGCTGGAGAAGATACCATTTTTCTCCAGCAGAGTCCGCCGTAGATCCTCTGAGGGAGCCTCCTGCACAGGTGCAGCTCATCAAGACCATCAGAGGATCCACTACTTAAGCTGCCTTCAGACCTTACCTCAACGCCGCAGTGTTGTTCCAGTTGGTCAGCGCTAAAGCCTTGATCTCAGTGATTTTTCCATGACCTTAATCCCGAGTCAGATCCTAACGTTTGTCTCTGTGCCTCTAGGTGACTCGTGCTTCCTCCGTGAAAGCTCTGGAAGAGCTAACCTGCCGAGCCGACCCTCCGAGCCAAACCCTGAAGATTCTCAGTCTACCTCTAAGCAGCTCTGGGCAAGAGCTAGGAAACCCAAGCCAAGGTCTGTTCTATTAAGATGTGAGACGCTGAAGCAGCTAACGGACTCTGCTAACACATCCTTCTCCAGAACCAACAGTGACTCTCCCAAGGAGAACCTCAAGAACCCTCAAGGTACTATCAGAGCACCATTGGAAACCAAAACCCCGTCAACAGTCGTTAACTGTGTTGTCTCTCACGCAGACTCCGGTGAAACCAGATTCCAGGCCCAAACCAGTCATCTGCATATTACGTGCTTGTGCAAATAAACTTGTTAAACTTTTCATCCTGTGTCAGTGGTGTTCTGCATCTTTGGGTCTCCATTAGAGAACCGATCATGACATCCATGAGTGATGCTGAGAAACTAGTCCATGCATTTGACTATTACTTTACCATCAGGAAGTCCACAAAGTGTAGTTAAAAGTCTTCAGCTGATCCAAAATGCTGCAGCCAGAGTTCTGATAAAAATTAATAAAGAGAGATCATATCTCTCTGTTTCAATCATCTGCAACTATGATTACGCTCAGGGGCGGATTTAGGAAATTTGGGGCCCTAGGCAAAGACAGGCAGGGGGCCCCCTGAGAAGAAAACCCATAAAACAGACCCATTCTACAGATAGAGAAATGTTAATAGAATAGACATCCCTTATTTGTTCTAGGTTTTGTCCCTCTCTTCTTGTCCCTTTTTCCTCTCTATTTATTAGCGTTCTGATGGCATTTTAGCCAAAGGATTTTTATCAAAAACATAATTAATGTGCACAAATAAGGATTAGTTGTATTAACCATACATGGAAACAGAGTTTTATGGGGCCCCCAGGAACTTGGGGCCCTAGGCAACTGCCTAGTATTGCCTAATGGTTTCAGTCAGTGTACAATCTGCTAGAGGGCTCTAGGCTGTGACAAACTGGGCTGTCGGTCTCAGCTACTAACTCTCGAAGTAGCAGACCAGGGACAATGCTGTGTGAATGCTGATGTTATGTTACTGTTACTGTTTCTAAAACCTGACTGAGATACCTGAAATCCACAATGCAAAAAATGGTGTGTTTTCAAAGGCATGTGCTCCTGTTGCAATGGCTGAAACGGCACAATCTGAGGCCGCAACATCTGAAGAAGAGCCAGCTCTTCAGTCAACCCCCCTGAAGTCCAGATTGGACAAGCAACAGTTCCAGATGGTGCTCACCAGCCCAGCTGATGCTGGTCCAAGCAAAAAGCCATCGACTTCAGGAACATACATAGCCCTACCTCCTACCGGGAGACTGTCACAGGTAAGCCCATATTTTTCTACACGTTTAGTCTGAATAAAAAGCTAACAATTTCACATGATCAAAATACTGTATGATCATGAAGCCCTTTGCACACTATAAGTAAGTGCCGCCAGTCAGCCAATTTACTGTACTTTGACTTCTCTGTATTCTTTTTCTATATTTATAGTCAGAAAACCCTAGCTCGGATGTTGCACCTGAGACCCTGGATACCACCATGACATCCATAGAGACACCTCTGGACAGAGATGACAGCACATTCCTTCCATTGAGCAGTGATGACACATCTACAAGATCATCTTCCTCAGACAACATTGCGGGAGCAGAAAGGAGAGGAGACTGGTCTGAGAGGAAATGGATTGTGAACGAGTCATGCCTAATGGAACTGTTTACAACTTGTCACACATGCGGGATATCCATTTGTGAGAAGAAGATCACCAGCCGTGGATCAAAAATTACAATAGAATGGACATGCATCAATCACCATACGGGAGTGTGGCAGTCCTGTCCTGATGTCCGTGGAATACCTGAGAACAACCTGGTATCTTCAGCAGCCATTATTTTCACAGGAACAACACAGAATGAAATTGAAGAGTGGGCTGATCTTCTAAACTTACAACTGCCAAAGAAAACATCATACTATTCACTGCAGTCCACCTATATGATACCTGTTATTCAAGAAGCCTACACCGAGATGCAAGAGGAGATTTTGTCAGAACTCAGGGAAACTGAAGCTGCTGGTGGACACACAGATATCTGTGGTGATGCAAGGTGGATATTCCCATAATGGATCATGCAGTATATGTAGTTAGTAGTCCTGTTACATTATAATTCACATCAAATCATGTTTGCCATCACTCCACAAGTAACTTCCTTGTTTGTCTTCTACAGATCTGATTCCCCGGGTTACAGTGCCAAGTACACCTGTTACAGCTTTATGGAAGATGCAACAAAGAAAGTCATCATGTCAGATCTAATTCAGGTAAAGTATGAATAGTTTTGCCAAGTAAGTTATTGAGTGTGTTTTATCACTTTGTTCTGCTTTTCACAGGCCTCTCTGCATGTTTGTTCTGTATTTCCTGTTACAATGATCAATACAGGTAACTTAGGCTACCAGTTCAACAGCAATGGAGCCTGTTGGTTTCCGGAGGGGCCTGGATCGTCTGCTGGACTCCGGCGTTGGTGTTTACGTGGTAACTACTGACCGGGCTCCATCAATACGGAAGATCATGAGGGAGTCCTATCCTGAGCTTAGGCATCAATTTGACCCATGGCATGTTGCAAAAGGTACCATTATTTGGGCATTATACACTGCTTCATTTTGTGAAATCTTCACGTTTGAACCTTTGCATAAGTCTATTGTAATGCTATGACAGTTGACAAAATAATTTATACATTTATTTTCATCTGTTATGCATTATTTAGGTATAAAGAAGAAGGCAACTGCATTGGCAAGGAAGAAAGAAAACCGGGACCTGCAGCCATGGATCAAGTCTCTGGGCAATCACTTCTGGTGGTCGTGCAGTTCTTGTGGTGGCGATGAGAAGGTGATGCTCATAGACATGTTGTTATGCATAACGCAGTACTGTTATTTCTTCAATACAACTAGTTATTTTCATTCATGAATTTGCCAAGCTGTTTCATAGTGATGATATGCCTTGTAAAAGCCAACACGGCTCCAAAACAGAAAAGGAACACCACAACAATGCAATGTAACTTCAAGTTACTTACACTTCTGTGATACCAGCTTGTCCAGTTTGGAAGCAACGCTCATTGTAAATCCATTTTCCTACTCTTGTAAAAATTTAGCAAGCAATGGTTAGAAATTAGAGATAAAAACGAAACCCTTAGAAGCTGATGATGATCTATACACGTTGAACATTAGTTTCACACAAAAGCATGTTCAGATATGAATACTCTGTGTCTAAAATGTACCTGAGAAAATTGCTAAGCAGTGTCTAATTGTCCTCAAATAGGAGTTGAAACACCGGTGGACCTCTATCCTTTACCATGTGTGTGGTATCCACCGCTGGGAAGAAAATGACCAGGAGTACAGATGTCGCCACGAAGACATCAGCGAGGAGCAACAACGACGAAAGAAATGGCTGGAAAAGGGGTGTCCTGCCTGGAACGCTCTGAAGAGTGTTGTACTGGACAAAAATCTTTTGAAAGACCTAAGTGAAATGACTTTGTTCAAGCATACAGGTAAGTGTGGATAAACTTCTAGGCAGTAGGTTGAATACATTTTCCCTAAACGAGTAAGAATATCTCAAAGGGAAATATTTTTGTGTGTCACCTTTCCTTTGAGAAAACATTAGTTTTGCATAATGTAAACACTGTACTATTGTATATGTTTATTTTCTCTTAGGGGCCCTTGAAGTGTTACACAGCTCCATGCTGAAGTACGCGGAGAAGAGGCGCCATTTCACATATGTCACCATGCAGGCAAGGCTCCAGCTGAGTATAATTGACCACAACCACAATGTTGGCCGTCAGCATGACCGTACTCAATCTGGTGAGTACACACACACACACACACACACACACACACACACACACACACACACACACACACACACACACACACACACACACACACACACACACACACACACACACACACACACACAGCTATTGAAAGAAATACCATTTCAAAAACATTGTTATTATTATGGTGATTTCACTACTTATTTACAGTATGTATTGAAGTAAAAAAAAAATTATTTGCAGAAAATGCCAAAAGGTCAAAGTAAGACAAAAAGATGCAATGTATCAGATCAGATCGACACTTTTGAAAAGGTATTTGTCTTTCTGTTCATACATGAACACCTGAACGAAAAATGTCTGCACCTGAGCCTGGTTGCTGCTCAAGGCCAAGAACCATAGAGTTATGACGAACTGGGCTACTTCTCATCAAATAGAATAAGGGACAACTGCAGTACTCTGCCTCCGCATCTTATAACCTAGTCTTTAGTTAGTTACAGCTTTTTACTCTCCCCCTTCCTCAAGTCAGGGGCCACACAAATCACAGTATGTAATGGACATAAACCATCCTCATGTTTCTTGTGTCACTCTTCTCATTCCCAGGACAGGAAAAGTACAATGTCATTCACTCAAGGCAATCAAACCAGTGGGTGGCAAGAAAGCTGTATGAGCGAACAACGCAGGAGTTCCGGAAAGGATTGGTGGAGCGGGTCATTCGACGGCGGCTTGACAAGAATGTCAGGCTTGGAGATCCCGCTTTCCATGTCCATCCTCCTGTCAGCATACCGGCCAACATTGCTCCCACTCCAAAGCCAAACAAGGCTGATTTGGTTGCAGAACATGCATCACGCTTTCCAACTAAACATACATACATACATCAACATGATACAGATGTTGATGTCTGAGACTGAAATAAAATCCTTATTTTTGATTGTTGTACTTTTCATTATTTTTCCCCATTTTCTCATAATTCCTATCGTACTGTAAGCGTCATCAAAACCATTACAACGGAAGTCTTGGTGAACATAGTCTTATTTTATTATTGAAATGTTAGTCATTTGTTGCGTAAATAATTTGTAACATTTTTAGTGTAAATAATTTGTAGAAAATCAGAAAAACTGTAGAAAATGTAGAAAACAGCAAAACTTCTATAAGTAAAACATTTGGAACGTGTGAAGTAAAATATTTAAAACAATTGCTGTGCATCCGTTGATTCTTTGAAACCTGCATATTGCCCAGTTGGTGATGGATAAGTTCTTCTTATTAGCTCCACCACACAGGAAGGAAGAACTCTCCTGTTGCCTGGACCAAGCTTCTCTCCTTTTAGACCCCATTCCATGACGATGCTATAGGCGATCAGCCTGTACTGTCTGAAATAGTAAACAACACAAGTTCGTGCATACTTGATATGACAATACAATGTGTGTGTTGGTGAATTTGAAAGCACTTGGTCAGATGTGATGTTGTGCTGTGTTATAATACATTTAGATGAAGTGAATGAAACAACGTTTTTATCATGAAATTGTAACATTTATAGTGTTTGGATAATAAATACTGCTTAGGACAATAGGCCTATTGTAAAGTGGGAGAGGCCTACAGACAGGGTAAAGCTCAGGAGGCTGTCTTACAAATCTTGAAGGAAAAATAATACAGCTAGGCCTATGCAACACCCTAATGTTATTACATTATTATGACAACTCATATTCCTATGTCCTAGCCTATTTCTAGAACACTACTAAATACACACATGATGTCCTAACAAGTCAATGCCTGAACACTTTTATAACGTTCTAAAATATAAACAACCTCCATGCCTACAACATCTAAGTGAGGAGTCAACACTTACTCTGCAGACAACTGACCATTGGGTCCAGCTGGTCTGGGACGCTTCTTCCAGTTGATCTTGGGAACATGGAAGAACATTCTCAGGACCCCTTCATTGCGGAGGGCAGGGAAGTCGCTGTTGTTTGTGATGCAGACAGCAGCTGCTGCAACTCCGACATCCTCATCAATTGAAAGGTTATGTACACTATATTGCCAAAAGTATTTTCTCACCTGCCTTGACTCACATATGAGCTTAAGTGACATCCCGTTCCTAATCCATAGGGTTCAATATGACGTCGGTCCACCCTTTGCAGCTAGAACAGCTTCAACTCTTCTGGGAAGGCTGTCCACAAGGTTTAGGAGTGTGTTTATGGGAATTTTTGACCATTCTTCCAGAAGCGCATTTGTGAGGTCGCACACTGATGTTGGACGAGAAGGCCTGGCTCTCAGTCTCCGCTCTAATTCATCCCAAAGGTGTTCTATCGGGTTGAGGTCAGGACTCTGTGCAGGCCAGTCAAGTTCATCCACACCAGACTCTGTCATCCATGTCTTTATGGACCTTGCTTTGTGCACTGGTGCACAGTCATGTTGGAAGAGGAAGGGGCCAGCTCCAAACTGTTCCCACAAAGTTGGGAGCATGGAATTGTCCAAAATGTCTTGGTATGCTGAAGCATTCAGAGTTCCTTTCACTGGAACTAAGGGGCCAAGCCCAGCTCCTGAAAAACAACCTCACACCATAATCCCCCTCCACCAAACTTTACACTTGGCACAATGCAGTCAGACAAGTACCGTTCTCCTGGCAACCGCCAAACCCAGACCCGTCCATCAGATTGCCAGATGGAGAAGCGCGATTCGTCACTCCAGAGAACGCGTCTCCACTGCTCTAGAGTCCAGTGGCGGCGTGCTTTACACCACCGCATCCGACGCTTTGCATTGCACTTGGTGATGTATGGCTTGGATGCAGCTGCTCGACCATGGAAACCCATTCCATGAAGCTCTCTGCGCACTGTTCTTGAGCTAATCTGAAGGCCACATGAAGTTTGGAGGTCTGTAGTGATTGACTCTGCAGAAAGTTGGCGACCTCTTCGCACTATGCGCGTCAGCATCCGCTGACCCCGCTCCGTCAGTTTACGTGGCCTACCTCTTCGTGGCTGAGTTGCTGTCGTTCCCAAACACTTCCATTTTCTTATAATACAGCTGACAGTTGACTGTGGAATATTTAGGAGCGAGGAAATTTCACGACTGGATTTGTTGCACAGGTGGCATCCTATCACAGTTCCACGCTGGAATTCACTGAGCTCCTGAGAGCGACCCATTCTTTCACAAATGTTTGTAAAAACAGTCTGCATGCCTAGGTGCTTGAATTTATACACCTGTGGCCATGGAAGTGATTGGAACACCTGATTCCAATAATTTGGATGGGTGAGCAAATACTTTTGGCAATATAGTGTATCTCGGGCATTACTAAATCCCACTCATGGCAACAGTAGCATTCCACCTCTGTCTGCATTAATTCGCACTTGAAACAAGTGCACCATGATTTGTTGGCCACCCTGGATATCGCAGCTCCAGCTGTGGCTCCTGCTGCTCCGGCTTCAGCTTCCATCACAACTTTGTCCACCCTCTCTCTTTCTGCCCGATCTAACTCCATTTGTCTAATTTCATCGTCAGTGTACTCGGGTTCATAAAGATATCCCTTTGGCTCTAAGTGGAAGTCGATGTTTTCCTCGTCGCTCATGTAGTCCGACATCTTCCCCAAGAGTAAACAATCGCGAATCAAACAGGTAGGCCCTAGCTCTCAGGTCATGGTGTCGCGCGCACTGATACGAACAGAGAGAAAATAGGACCAAGTGATAACGACATGTGACTTTTTCCACTACAATGTTTTTGGGATGCAAAAATATCACTCTTTCGAACACATAATGTTTTGGGAAGAGAAACGTTTTATTTCGCTGGGTCTAGCAAACCTGCCGGACTACTTTCGGCTTGACCAAAGCTGGACGAGAACTCTGCTCACAGGATGCTGCCAGGGGTAAGTCAGTGTGATTGCATGACACTGGTGATGGGGATGCCATACAGATTCATGTCAAAAATCCCGAACTATCCCTTTAATGGTCCATCTGATATCATAGATCTAATTGCTCCTTATGATACTAACAGAGCACTTCGCTCTCAATCGGCATGTTTATGAGTGGTTCCTAGAATTTATAAAAGTAGAATGGGAGGCAGATCTTTTACTTATCAGGCATCTCTCCTGTGGAACCAACCAGTCATAGTTTGTGAGGTAGACACCCTGTCTACTTTAAAGGGTAGGCTTAAAATGTTCCTTTTTGATAAAGCTTATAGTTAGAGTGGCTCAGGTTATCCTGAGCTATCTCTATAGTTATGCTGCTGTAGGCTTAGACTTCTGGAGGACATAGGGACCCCTATTTCATCATTCTGCCTCATTCTATCTCTATTATCCGACTCTTCAGAATCTGTTAGTTCAATCTCTGACGTTATGCTCCTTCTGCTTTTTACCATACCATACCAACTTTATTTATGAAGCACTTTATACACCGAACAGGACCAAAGTGCTGTACACAATCATAAAATACAATAAAATTATAAAATAGAGAAAAAACGAGTGTAAAATACATATTAGTATACAAAAAGAATAAAACAAAGTAAAACGTCTCAAATTGTGTCAAAAGCCAAGGAAAAAAGATGAGTCTTAAGAAGGGACTTAAAAGCAGTAAGAGAAGAGGCCTGTCTTATGCTCAGAGGCAGATCGTTCCACAGCTTAGGAGCTGCCACAGAAAAAGCACGGTCTTTTTTCTCATAGTAGGTTCCCCTCGTCTGTTCCTGTTTGACTGTGACACCATCCTTGAGAGAAATATCAGCTGTGCTGCTGCCATCAACGACTTTGTTTATAGATGATGGAGATCGGCCTGTTTTTCAGTGTAGTCCTGTTTCTCTGACTGACTTGCTGGATGTGCTCTCTCATCCTCTGACATGGGAGCTGGCTGGGAGCTCATCTGCCTGGCTGTGTGTTTCCTGGAAGGGGCCGCCTTTTACAGCTGCTTTTTGTATCTCTGCTTTTGTCTCCTTGAACCCCAGTCGGCCTCGGCAGATGGCCGCTCACACTGAGCCTGGTTCTGCTGGAGGTGTCTTCCTGTTAAAAGGGCGTTTTTTTCTCTCCACTGTCACTACAAGTATGCTTTCTGTGAGGGATTGCCTTTGAGTCAATGAGTCGATGCAATCTACTGGTTTTCCTTAGATAGAAAACCTCAAATCAATTTGACTGTATGATCTGGTGAACTGTAAAGTGCCTTAAGATGACTTGTGTTGTGAATTGGCACTATATAAATAAACTGAATTGAAAATTTTATTGAATATGTGTTGCATAATTTTAGCAGTCCATATTTTTGATGTGAAGGAAAAATTGCACAGTGGTTCAAGAACTATGATGTGAAAGAAGTCTTTAGAAGAGCTTAGGTATATTTCTTTTACAACAACAATGCTTAAAGAGGCATGACATCTGCAAAAACAAAATTTGGAGTAACTCTCTGAGTCTCTGATCCACTATTCCATACTCAGGACAAAAGACACCACAATAATTTAAATTCATAGCTTTAACAATTGTTTCAGTCTTTCTAAAAACCTAAGGAACACATTCTTTAGGTGCTCCAGTGTTCAAGGAGAAGGGCAGTATAAAAAAAAAAACCTGGACAAGAAAAATTTTGTCTTGTTGGCATGCACCAGTCACACCTAAAGCCTGGTGAAGCTGAGTGACACGTGTTTACGCTTTTTGTTCCTCCCTAGATGCTCAAATTGCCCCACGAAGGAAAACAGCAAGAGCTTCTCAAATCACAGAGGATGAATATGTGCATTTGTATCTCTTGCAGCCATCACTTCTGACAAGCAGAAGCACACCTTGTTTGGAGGGCTTTTTAGGAGCTGTGTTTTTTATTGCAGAATGTGTCAAGCCTTACCCACCTTGTTGCATCTGGCATGAAGGAATGAAAGAAAAAAAAGTGAAACACAAAGCAGACTTACAGCAATTAGAATGCTATAGAGCAACATTTATGAAATATATATA